GGGTATGGGTGGGGACTTGATAATATGGGTAAATGTAGTAACCACATTGTTTTTTCATGTGAAACCTTCATAAGAGTGTACATCAATCATACCTTAATAAAAAATTAAAATATAAAATAAATAAAATTTAAAAAGCATGGCACAAAAGGCGGCCCAGATTTATCCTACACATGTAGCTTCACCCCCTGAAAAAGGACACTAGAGCAGGAGTTCGTGAATTTTCCCATGCTACACACCTTCTCCTACATACTTAGCACACATGTGCCCATCCTGCTGCGGTACTCAGCGCCTCCAGTCTGAGGGCCCTGCATGTCACCCTGCTGTGTTATTCTCTACCCAGCCTAGTCACCTAGCCTGCCAGACAAAGGATTGAATTCTATAATTCATATCCCAAAGATGGAGAAAGTAAGTTGTATTGTCAGAGCTTTCCACAGTTTGTGTTTGATTTTTAACTCTCTGTTACTTCTAAATTCTATTGGTCTTTCTTAAAGCCCAGGGAGGCTGTTGAGATGGCCAATGTGAGAGGGATTTAATGGGCATCTATATAAAGGACATGTAATATATCAATGGGGAAAGGGAAGCATGTACTACAAAATAAATATGTGAAAATATGAGGGATACCTACCAAAAAAAAAGGGCACTGACTATGGAAAGAAGAAGAGGCCACATTAGCACATTTGCCGGACAAGGTTCTCCTCTAACTTGGCACAGAAGCCTCAAGGGAGATGCTAAAGCTATTAAGGAGACATTAGGAAAACATTCTTGGCTTCCTTGGAAGCTTCTCCCTTAATGAGTCCAAGCTAAATACATTAATAAACAGTACCCAAGGCTTTTCTAGATGAAGTATCCATATTACTCAGCATCTCTGGAGCCACAATGACATTTCTGGGAAGGAATGAATAACTATTTCTTTATTAGGTTTTTCCTCACAATTGGTACAAATGACAAAAGGTTAAGAAAAATATTGAAAAAAAATCAATTGATTAACTTTATATGGCCTTATTTTATTGACGATTTTATAATCTGGTTTTCTTATTTTATTTCCTATTTCATAATACAGTTTTCCATGAGAGCCAGACTGAAACTACTGAGCTAAGCTTTCATTTTACACTAACAATTCCTCACTTCAACTTAAGATTCCTTACTCCACAGACTTCTCCAAGAAGTACCTTTAAACCTTAAGGCACCTGATTCACCTTTGAGCATATGTGTCATCTTAGGTAATATTGCAAGCATAGAAATATTCTTGGTGGAGATAGATGGGAGAATTGACATTTTAATATGCTATGAAATGCTCTGAAAAGCTTATACAAATATAGACCCAGAATTTATCCCATGTTGTACATTTTAAGTAATTCAATTAAGATTAAAAAAATAACATTCAATTTACAAGAAGCAGCTAGTAAAAAAACAAAGTCAGGAATTCCCAAGATGCCATAGCCAAGAGTTAGAAATTTTATCTAAAATTTTATGTGAATTTTGGACCTGCAGAAAAGAGTTCTGACCTGGTTCAAAATCTAAATACCTCTTTCATGAACCTTGCACCCACCATTCCTACCCCACTCCACTAAATTTAACTAGCCAATGTTAGCTTACTATCAAATATCTTATCAAAAGGAGTCTGTAATATGATAAATGTACCCTAATGTTAAAGAAACACTTTATTTTTTTGTACAATGGTTCAGGGAAAGACTGATAGTGAGAAGCTGAACAATATTTGAATTCAATTAGTAAAAGTTCAGAGTATTAGATCATTCAAAACTTAAAAGAGATATATGAACTAATATAAAACATTCATCTCCCTGAAAAAGAGACCTCTATTGAGATACTGAAACAATACTGCTTAACATATGATTCTGAGGTCTGAAGGCCAGTGAAGGTCCTTACCAAGTTAAGAAAACCTGACATTCATGTGACTTAGCAGATGAGTAGTGGAGGCTCAGGAAAGGACGTGGATTACAGAGCATGCCTAGCCCTTTTGCTTAAACAAGGAGGCAGTGGGGGAGAAGAGTGTACAATTCTTCAAGAACTCTGAACAAGAAAAAGAGATTGGCTTTCCCCCAACCAATTTCCAATGATTAATACTGTGCTTTTCATTAAATGAGAATAAAGCTCCAAAGACCAAAGGACCTCATTTGATCACTAAAAAAGAAATAGGTTTTAGCCAAAACCACAGATTGCCTACCTATAATATGATATTATTCCTAGGAATCTGACATCCTAGAATTTTTAATGAATATTCCTAATCTCTTAAATTTTAAATTTTTTATTTTTCACTAGCATTGAATTATTTATTTTAGGGAAGCAGAAGAGCATTAATGGCTAAAAGTCTAGGCTTACTTACCTATAGATTTAATTTCTGAACATAGTCAATTACTAGTATCATACCGTATAGGTATTTCCTAAGTATTTTTTAATATTGAAAAGAAAGCAAAGTATTTTCTCTCCTTAACATGACCTTTCTAGAACAGTGTAAGCCACTTAACTTGGGAGTAGGAAAACACACCGGTCTCAATCCTTTCCAGCTTCCACTGCACTGTTTAATCCACAACCACCTTTTAAAAACACATAGGTCACCGCTTACATTAAAGTGACAAAAAATGAAATTAAACATTTCTTATCAATAGTGATTCCCTATTGTATTTTCAGAGATGGAATTTCAAGTCACAGCTCAAGCATTTAGTCAAACTGACAATTACAATGAAAATATTCAGGCTCTGGTTTCTCAAGAGCAGGGGTGGGAAGCAATCTTCCTCTCCCTCTTTCTTTGTAATTTTGTGCATTCTGCAAAGGGAGAAGAAAATAAGTACAGAAAATTTCAATAATTTTCTCTTGCAAAAAAGAACAATTGTCTCTTCAGTACTATTCTTATGCTCACCAAATGCAATCTGCCTTGAGAACAAATGCATAAAAATCAAGGTTTTTCTAAAAAAAAGGCTATCCACATGCTGTATCTAATTATTCAACAATGTATCCTCTTCAAAGTAATTGCCAGCTAACAAGGGTATGCCTCCTTTTGTGAAATGGAAGAAAATAGAATTTTAGAAAACAAAAGCGGATTTTTCTATAAGCTTACATTTTAACTTCAGGGTTGCAACTTTCATTCGTAATTTTCAATTAGCAGTGTCTACTCATACTTAAAAAAAATTTTTTTTAATGTGTCAATTTATAAGGATTAATGATCTTCAAAAACATACAAATGCATTTGTGGAACACCACTTTTAGAAAAAAAACATTGTATAAAAGAAAACAACTTGTTTTTAATCTTTTGTTTTCTTGTTTCTAATTTTTTATACTTCCTGTATAGATCTAAGAAACATTTCATGGGAATTTCAACATATTAATTTTCTGTATGATAGTAATAAAACATAATCAATATCATAAAATGATAATTCACAAATCTATACCAATAGAAATGAATGAATGACTATAGAAAAAGACAAAGCCCTTTCTCTCAGCAGGACTCCAATAAAAAATGTATAAGGAATAATAGAATGTGTAAAAAAATCACCAATTAACATTGCTTATAATTATGTTAATTATATTATATAATTATGTTATGCTGTTTATATTATACAGTTATATTGTGCAATTACTTATACAGATAATTATTATAGTTACTTTGTAATTACTTATAAAAGTTCCATAGAAGAATCAATAGATGTTAAAATTTGTGGGTGAAAATATGAGAAACGGGCTACTGTCAAGTTTCGAAGAATCTCCTCATAAAATAATTAATTAAAAAGGCATAATAGTAAATTTATAGTAGAGAAAGCTGGCAGACAACAACTAATCAAATGTTCAGTTTTTACCAATAATGGGACAAATCAACATTACATGCCTCCTGATATGACATCCTAGTTTTCAGTTAAAGGAAACTAAAGAGACATGATAATCAAACGCTGTATGTGAACCTGTATTGTCATCCTAAACAAGAAAAGGACATTAGTGGAAAAATTTGAATGAAGCCCATAGATTAAATCATAGTATTGATCAAATGTTAATTTGCTGTGATTATGGAAGAGACCATACCCACCATATCACTTAGGTGTAAAAGTATTTTATAATTATGTCTGCAACAGAGCTCAAAAAAGTTATATATATATTATAACTTCATATATATTATATATATATTATATATATATATAAAAAATATGTTAAAATTCCCAGTTATATATATATTATAACTTTTTATTTTATATATATATAAAATAATAGAGCAAGTCTGGTAAAATGTAAACATTGGGAGAATCTGGCTAAAGGGTATACAGAAATCCTTTGTTCTGATTTTTCACTCATAAATCTGAAATTTAAAATAAAAGATACCTAAAGGGTAAGTAACCTCCATTTTGAATTGGTTTGATCACCGTGTAGCCAAGGAATGAGCAAAATTTTTCTATGAAAGGGCTCAACAGTCAGTACTTTAGGCTCTGTGGGCCATATAGTCTCTTTCACAATAATCCCATGTTGTCACCATGTCACAAAAGTACTCACAGATGAATTCTAAACAAATGGAGTGTCTGTGTTCCAGTAAAACTTTACTTACAAAAATAGGCAACAGGTCAGAAACTGCCTATAGGCTATAGTTGCTGACCCTGGTCTGGTTCATGACAAGGAAAATTAATCAGAATGATTACACTTTCAGTAAACATTTTTTGAGCACATGCCATGAGCTCATGCCATGAGCTATAGAGCATTAACTCATTCATCCTCATATCAACCTGATTAGGCAAATAATACTATTATTTCCATTTTCCACAGAAGAATGGGACTACAGAATTAAGGAACTTGGCCAAGATTATAGAGCCAGCAATAGTAAACACTGGGTTTGACCCAGTAGGGCTGTCTTCACACACTAAACTAATCAATATGCTATACTTCTCACATGTACTGAATTATACTGTCACATGCAACAATTAAGTAACTGTAACAATTTTAACAATGGCTTAATAACTATCCAAACTCAAGATTTGTACTCTAAGAAGGTATTTTTTACAAACCTCCTGTAGCTGCAAAGAAATAAGTCCCAGTTGATCCTGCCGTTTCTCCACCAGCTCTCTTTCTGTGCGCATCTCTCTTTCTATTTCCTGAAGCCGTCTCTCCACCCGATCTGAAACCTCAACATAAACAGATATAGTGACATTATAGAGCTATTAGGCAAAAAAAACTAATTTGAAGAGATATTTTATACCAGATTCACTACTGACTAAAGCATTTAAGATTAGCTTCTTTGTAGTGCCCTTTTTAATGATGCTATTATAAAACAGATCACAAAAAATTTAAAGTTACAAAAGAAAACAATCATTAGTCCCCAATTAATCCAAATCTGGATTTTGATTTTTCCAAGTATAATAATTCAATAGATCAGAGTTCAAAGTAATAGAAAAGAGTGCCCTCTAGTGAGTTAGAAAGAAAATAACCAATTATGCCAACAACTGCATTTATTACACTATTAATGATAAACTTCTATCTATTTAGTTCTTCTTCATTATAATTATCTCTAAGCATGACCTGCCTAGGCAGCTTTTGATGTTTATGTGAAGTAAGTAATTAGAAGGGCTTTTCATTAACTTGTCAATCTTTTCTACTGTGATCTACTAAAAATAAACCAGCTATGAAAGATCAAAAACTAAAGTCAAACAGAAAAATATTTAATTGGGACTCCTTAAAATAAACATGAAAGAACTTTTCTCTCTGATGAAAGATTTTCTTTGCAAAATGTTCTGTAAATCTAAATACACTTCATGTGTATCATTATATAGTCCCCTAAATAAAATTTACCCATGTGATGATGTGTGTATTTGGTGCAGGAGGACAGTGAACATAAGACATTTATATTCACTTAAGGGAACCAGTACATAGAGCTCTGTTACAAGAAACCTTTTGCCACCAATTCTACACCAGAAAGGTCCTGGCCACAAGAACCCTTAGTAGGACCATCGTAATGTTCTAAACTATATTATGGTAATGGTTGCACAGCTCAGAACATTCACTAAAAATCATTGCATTATACACTTAAAACAGATTAATTTTATAGTAAATCATACCTCAAAAAGGTATTTAAAAAGACAGTGGCAAATATAAGCTTAATTAATTAATAAATGCCAAGCAAAAATATTCTATCAAAAAAATGAATTAATATTTACTAAGACTGATAAGTCTTGAGTTTCCAAGTTCTAGGGCTTAAAAACAATTACATTAGCCACGATAATCACAGTGCTTTACTAAAAACTCAAAATACCCTTTGGCATCAAACTTGTAGTATATACTAATAATAAACCCTAATATCCCAATAAATAATGTAGTACTGCATCTGAAACAAATATAGTACTATAATAGAAAACAATATTGGATAAATACTAAAAAATAAAGTTAATTTGTTCAATTTTTATAAATTGGAAATACCTTTATAGTTCACTATGAATATAAAATTTAACTAATGGTAATACCAAAAAAAAATAGTACAGAATCACCTCAAACTCATTAGGATGGTTATGATCAGAAAAAAAACAAAAAATAAAATAATAAGTGTTGGGAAGGATATGGACAAACTGAAGCCCTGGTTCACTGTTAATGGAAATGTAAAATTGTACATCAGCTATGAAAAACAGTACTGTGGTTCCTTAAAAAATTAAAAAATAGTTACTATATAATTCAGCAATCACATTTCTAGGTATATACCCAAAAAATTTGAAAGTAAGGTCTTAGATATTTGTACACGTATGTTCATAAGCAGTATTACCCACAGTAGACAAAAGATGGAAGCAACTCAAGTGTCCACTGACAGAAAAACATATAAACCAAATGTGGCTTATACATACAATGGAATATTATTCAGCTTTAAGAAATAGGAAAATTCTTACACATGTTACAACATGGATGAAACTTAAAGACATTATACTAAGTGAAATAACCAAATATTGTATCATTCCAATTATATGAAGTTTCATTCTGATTATATGACAAGCTAGAATAGTCAAATTCAAGGAGGCAGAAAAGAATGGTAGTTGCCAGGGGCTGGACGATGATGGGAGTGGGAGTTGCTATAATGGGTATAATTTCAGTTTCGCAAGATGAAGAGAGTTCTTGATTTTGTTGTACAACAATGTGAATGTACATAACATTACTGAACTGAGTAACTAAAAATGGTTAAGTTGGTAAATTTTATGTTACATATTTTATAATTAAAAATAAAGAAAAAACAGAGAATCATAAAAAAGAAATATAATCAGCTAGTGCCATCCATCAAAAAAATACATAGTATTTTTTTGTGTACTTCCAGAAATTTTTCCGTGCATACGTGCATGAGCAGGCAGATCCGTATCCAATACACATCAAACACATTTCCATCTCACTTCGTCTTAAACAAAGACTGGGTATTATATATAGTGTTTTATAAATTTTTGCAGTTCATATATCACGGACAACTTTCCATGACAAGTAAATCTACATCCTGTTCTTAACAAATGCACAGTTCTTCATAATTGGTTAAAATACTTCCCAGTTGACAATAGGACATTATTTTTGCTAGTATATGCTAAGACAAATACTCCTATATAAGATTATTTTCGTAAACTCAAGACACAATCTTTAAATGGAATTGTTTAATCAAAAGGTATGAATCACAGATTTAAAAAAACATGGAAATAAATAAAATAAAACTTGGAAGTGTTTTGGATTGTTAATCCAAATCTTTAATTCTAAAAAGAATACCGAGGAGATTAAGTGAGGAAAATGAGCCCAATACAAGTCTCCATACCCAGCAGTATCTTATTATCCCAAGGTCCATTTTCATGCATCCATTCAAAAAGCATGCACACACTAATTTAAGACTAATATTGAATTCCAGTCAAACTTGTGATGACTGAAGAGCCAAAGAATCCAGTTTAGACACAGCTGTATTCAGAACCTGGATTCAGAAACAGTCAGATAATAACATGTTTTAAGCCAGTAAGCTTAGGGATACTTGTTATGCAGCCACAGATAATAATATAATTTTTCAATTGATTTTCAAATAAATCCTCATCCAGGAAATAAGCTTGAGTCTGATGAAGAGAAACATACATATATGTGCCATTCCACCCACAAAATTTCTATCCATTCCATAGAATTTTGTTCTCCATTTCAAAATATCATGATTTTCACCAGTATTAACCTTTTCTGTAATCAAAAATAAATAACCACCTCTTTACTCCCTGTATCACCTACTGACCTTGTGATTAGCCTTCTAAATGAAACACACACTATTTGAGCTATTCATGTAATTTAATCTCTCAAAAAAATCAGTATCATCTTCCATAAAATGGGGATGACTTGTCCTGCTTGCCAAATAAAGAAGTGTAGATCAAAAAATACAGAAGCAGTGGGACAAAAAATTCAGATGATGTCACAAAAACTAATAGTTCTTTTCCAATATCTACTCCTCTACCCTCATTTCTTCCATAGTAAATGAATTTTTATCTAGATAGATGACTGCCGAATATACACAACACATTTTCTGGTCACCTAAACTGCTAGCTGTCCTTGTTACTTAAATTCAGTGGGATACAAACATCAATGTCAAGTGACAACTTCAAGAAACTATCCATAAGGAAAGCACAAAGGTACCTTTTGTTCTCATACTCATCCCTTCCTCCATCTTGCTGCCTAGTACAAACATGTTACCATCTTAGCCCATGAATTTGAGGCCATAACAGCAAAAAAAGACAAGCATGAAAGAGCCAGAACCCCTTTTACATTTTGTGTAAGAGCACCACATGGAACCCTGACTCCCTAAAGACCTTTCACAAGAAATAACTCTTTATCTTTTTTAAGCCACTCTTACTTGGGTTTTCAATTACTTACAGCTGGAACTGATCCTAACCGATAAAAGCACTGAGTGAACTGCAAAATGATAAGCAAGTACACCTACTGCCTTATACAACTGTTACAGCATGGGAAAATCACAACAGCCTTGCTCTGGTTACTTAGGCCTGTAGAACACTGTAAGTAATAAAATGAGCACACACTACAGCTAGTCAATAGAAAAATAAAACTATACACAAACTAGCCATTATTGAAAATTAATAAATACAAAGTATTTTATTTTTTCCAACAGTGGTAAAATTATAGTCACTCTATAAGGCCACCAAAATATCTTTATAGATCCAATCATCCAGACAGATCAATACACTCAAAATATATTCCTTTATCCACTGCTAATACCCTGAATCACACAACTCTAAGTCAGCAACAATCAAGAACCTAAAATAAATATTTGGATAATTCTAATTTTCTCTTTGCCTATTCTTTGTCATGTTACTTCTGTGTTATACTTATATATTAGGGTACAGTCAAGGTTCTTTCAAAAAGATCAAATTTACAGCAGCTAAATTTTATTTCTCTCTCATATTACAGTCCAGAGAAAAGCAAGACAACTGGCAGGCTCCTCTGCTTCCTAAGACCATTCAGAGACCCAGGTTCCTTGCACCTGTTGCTCCACCATCCCCTACGTTGTTATCGTCACCTGCACCGTTGGGGCTGGATCAATGCTACATCCCCATTTCAACTTACATAAAGGGGCAGGCAGTAGTGGGGGATTGCTGGACAAGTGGCTGTAGTTTCAAGGAAATAGCTAAGAAGTTGCACACATCACTTTCACTCACACTTAGTCACATGGTCACAACTTAACTGCACAGGGAAACTGGGAAAAGTCATATCTGAGTAACCATGTGCCCAGATAAAACTGCATTTATACACAGCACTGCAGTTAATGATCTTGTACATGTGCCATTTTTCACATGGGAAACTAAACTTCTAGTAGTGGGCTTACAGGATTAAAGTCTGTGTTCATTTGTAGTTTGTGTGGGACAACAGTGTGGGAGGGGATGAAGGGAGGAGTGTGGGGATCTGATGCCAAAGGGAAAAAGGCACTAAATATAAGAGGCAACGTAGAATTAACATAACTTCAACATATATTGTAATTTTAAGACAAACCACTTTTCATCCATTTTTGGAGAAAGGTAAGATAAATGCTAATTCTCAGATGAAAGTATTAAGAGTACATTTAAAATACTAATCATAAAATTAAACATGTAACAAATTACAAATGAATACAGACTTAAATCCTGTAAGCTCA